AGTCATCCTCCTGGGTGTGAAGTAGTATCTCATTGTGGTTTTGATTTGCATTTCTCTAATAAATAATGGAAAGAGCCCTGTTGGTGCAATGGTTAAGCAGTCGACTACTAACCGGAAAGTCAGTGGTTCAAACCTACCAGATGCTCCACGGGAGATCTGCTCCCATAAAAATTACAGCCTAGAAAACCCTATAGGGCAGTACTACCCTGTCATATAGGCTGCTGTGAGTGGGAATAGACTCAACGGCACACAACAACAATAACTAATGGGAAGATCCCTAGATGGCACTAACAGTTTTCACTCAACTGCTAACCTAAAGCTTGACGGTTTGAGCCCACTTATAGGTACTGAAAGATAGGCCTGGCGATCTGCTTCCCATAACATTATAGCCAAAAATACTCTATGGAGCAGTTCTACTCCGTAATACTTGGCATCACCGTGAGTAAAAATGGACTTGACAGTAACTAACAACAACAGTAACAGTGACTAATGGGAGTCCGCTGACATACAGCAGGTCAATACACTTGGCTACTAACTGAAAGGTTGGAGGTTTGAGTCCACTCAGAGGTACCTTGGAAGGAAAATCTGGTGATCCACTTCTGAAAAATCATCCATAAAAAACCTTACGGAGCATAGTTCTACTCTGACACATGTTGGGTTGCCACGAATCAGAATTAACTCCAAGGCAACTGAGTTAATGATTATTAACATTGAGCATCTTTTCATGTGCTTATTGGCCATTTATGTATCTTTCTTTGGAGAAATGTGTATTCAAGTCCTTTGCACGTTTTTTGATTTGGTTGTTGGTCATTTTGTTGTTGAGTTGTAGGCATTTTTTGCCTTATATTTGGTTGAAAATAAAAATAAATAGAAGTTTCAATAAGGGTGATGGTTAAATATTTATATACAATTGTCCAAACTCATTGAAGCTTAAAAGCTGGACATTTTATTGCATGAAAATTACACCACTAAATTAAAAACAAAACAAAGAAAATTGAATTTTATTCCCTCAATCTCACTTTGATGATCACCACAGTAAACAATAGATAATGATTTTTTCTGGATAGTTGGAATATGAAAATGGCATCTTAGAATGTTTATGTTGTTGATTATATGCAAATAGAATGTCATAAGGAGATGTAGAATGCTAGTGCAATGGTACAAGTATGAAAGGACAAGTCTTTGCATAAAGGTGGGGCTGCAAAGAAAAAACACATAGGAGAGAATGGCATAGGTGAGAAAAAAATCACTTGTATTATATGCAAAGACTCCATTAATGGAATTTGGGGATTTAACCTGCATAGTCAAAAAAAAAAAAAAAATGTTGTGCTAGTATCAAGAATGCAGTTCCTGGTATTTGTAATTTTTTTTTTTATATTTAAATAACAGATATGATCATATATAACCTAAAGTTGTGGCGCTCAAACTTTAGAGGGCATGAGAATTCCCTGAGATCTTTCAAAGCACATATTAATGACCATACTTGTCACAGGTTGTGATTCAGAAGATCTGGGACAGGGTGTTGATCTTTCTGATGCAGGTAGAACAAAGACTACAATCAGAACCACTGCCCTAAAAATACATAAAATAAACAACTCAAGAAAAATTTTGTAAACTTTTCCTAAATTGGAAACTTGGCTACTAATATAATAATTTCAATTTTTTTAAGGGGCAAGTGAAAGAGAATGTGAGTTTTGTTGGGGGAATGGAAAGGAGAAATTGCGAAGTTACCAGCAATAATTTAGATAACAGAATGGAGTTTATTATTCATCAGAAATAGGTTAGAAATAAGCTTTGCAAGATAAATGATTCTAGAGCTGATGTGGTTTGAAAGATGTGGGAGTAGGGCAAAAAGTGTTTACTATTTGCAATTAGAACTATCAAAGAATGCACAAAGAAAATGGAATATCTGGAAAAAAGTCACTCAGTTTAAAGCGAATGGGAGAGCATAGCAAGAAATTAGATGCAATATCTCTAATAAACTTTGAAATTAGAGATAATTTGATATAAAAATAAATGTAAACTTAAGTCGTAGTGAAAAATATGGTTAATATAGTGGATAAAATTTTAGTTATAAAGAAGGATCAGGTGAATTAAGTATCAAGGGAGTAGAATTTTAATACAATTAACTCTGAAATTAAATCAAGACAAGGACTGGACAGAGAAAACCCAGAGGTTTCGAGGTGACTTGAAAGAAGCTACATTTTGGATGAATTAAGTATAGCTTAGCTGAAAGGAATGAATATCACAGTTTCCAAATGAGATAAATTGAGTGAATCTATCGGGACCTTGGACACAGACATGCCCTTCTGTTCTTGGACAACATTTTTATACTTCAATAATAGCCTGACTACTGCAAGGTACTCAACATTTAGGTGTCACTAAATGGTTTTCATTGAAAATTTAGCTGGAAATGCATTACATATTGTTACTGCATTTGTTCTACCAAAAGGGATAATGAGAGTATTCATTAGTAACATTTGACTGAGATTGGTCATAAATTTCTACATGACCACAATGTCAAAATTTGGGGGATTGCCAAAAATGTCCGTAAATTTTCAAGGCAACCAATAGAGAATTTTCTGTAATATTTCTGGATACATCAGATTCCTAGTTCAATATTTTATATGTGAAGATTCACATTCTTAGTGTGGAAGGCAGAAACATGGTACTGTATTTGTTTCAGATAAGTGTTCCTCTGTAGTTTATTAGATGGTGCGTTCTCCAACGTACAAAGCATTAAAAACAAATGCTTTTGTGGATTAGATCCTATTGGTTACAAATAACACAAGAGAACTTGAGTTTTCCTCGGGGTTCTCATAAAGTCAGCTACTTCTAGAGGGTCAGAAGTAATATGTTTGCCTATGATAGGTAAATACTGCTCTTTTGAAAAGTCGGTAAAGTGTAAATACTTGTAAAAATAATATAAAGTACTAAGGCAATTCATGGAGGAAAGGATAATCCTTTGAAATGATGATGCTCCAGCAATTATATACTCATATGCTAACAAATAAGGCTCAATCTATACCTCACACTAGATACAAAAATTTACTTGAAAGGATTCCTATATCTAAATGTAAGAGCTAAAACTATAAAACTTCTGGAAGAAAACAATGGTGGAAGTCTTAGTGACCTTAGGCTTGGCAACAATTTCTTAAGTACAGTATTAAAAGCACATATATAAAAGAAAAAAATTGAATTTCATCAAAATTAAAAGCTTTTATTCTTCAAAAGACATTTTTAGTAATTTGAAAAGACGTGACGTAACAGAGAATATATTTACAAAACATATATCCAACAAAGGACTTGTATCTGGACTATATGAAAACACAACTCAATAAGAACAAGACAAATAACCAAATTAAGAGTGATCAAAATATTTGAGCAAATACTTTATCATAGAAGATATATGAATGGCCATTTAGAAAATATGAAAATTGCTCAACATCATTAGCTATTAGGAAAATGCAAATGTAAATCTCAATGGATACTACTACAAATCCACTAAAGTGACTAAAATTAAAAAACAAAAAAACAAGACTGACCATATCAAACATTGAAGAGGATGTGGAGCAACTGGATCTCTCATACACCAGTAGTGGGAATGTAAAATGACGCAACCACACTGAAAAGATAGTTCGGCAGTTTTTAATAAGTTAAACATAACTCAGTGATAAAAAGAAAAGTGCTATTGATACACACAACCACTTGAATGAATCTCAAGGCTATATGCTGAGTTGAAAGAATCCAGTCTCTGAGTTACATAGCGTATGATTCCGATTTTATAACACTCTTGAAAAGACAAAAGTACAGTGATAGTGAACAGAACAGTGGTTGCTGGAGATTAGGAGTGGGGGAAGCAAAAACAAAGAAAAGATCTTCGTCATCATGGAATTCTTTTATATACTGATTGTGACGGTGGCTACACAAATCAATTCCTGCTGTTGTTAGGTGCCATTGAGTCAGCTCTGACTCATAACAACCCTATGCATAACACAATGAAATGCTGCCTGGTCCTGCACTATCTTCAAAGTCATTGCTATGTTTGAGCCCATTGTTGCAGCCACTGTGACAATCCATCTCATTGACGGTCTCCCTCTTTTTTGCTGACCCTCTACTTTACCAAGCATGGTGTCCTCCAGCTATTGGTCTCTCCTGATGACTTGTCCCAAGTAAGCGAGGCGAGTCTCACCATCCTTGCTTCTAAGTGGTATTCTGTCTGTACTTTCTCCAAGACTGATTTGTTTATTCTTCTGGCAGTCCGTGGTATATCCAGTATTCTTCGTCAGCACCAGAAATTTAATGTGTCCATTCTTCGTCGGTCTCCTTTTTCATTGTCCAGCTTTGTCATGCATATGAGATTGAAAATACCATGGCTTGGGTCATGAGGATATTTCTTTCAGGGAGAAATGTATTTTATCTCACTGAAACATCTGCATTTAGGAAACAACCTTCCCAGACATTAAGAATGTCATCAAAACTGTTATTTTGATCTAATATGGTAGACATAAATGGATTGATTCTTATCTTAATAAAAATGTAAGCCCAGATGGAACAAAATATACTCAGATTAATTTCCAAGCATCTTGATATTTGGTACAAAATACCAGTAATTGTTCATCTTAAGCTATGCTGAAAGACCATGCATGCTATAATTAAGATTTATACAACATTATAATACAATTATATGATCAAAAATTTGCTCTCCCTATACTTAATATCATTCGTCAGGTGATAAAGTTTCAAATGAAGTCAAGAGCTCTCATAATAAAAGATATTTGGAAAAACATCCAAACAAGAATATTTTCCACTGTCTTGTTCATAAGCTAATTAACACTGTACTACATTTGAGTCTGCTTTCCTGAGACTGCATAATTTTAAAACTTAATTTACTAATGAAATTGTGATCTTGTTACTTAGCTAATGAAGGAAATAAATAAAACAGACACACATATTACTTATTTTTCTCAATTACATGCTGAAATCTCAATGTCTTTCAGGGACCCCTGAGGATTACCCACGATTTTTCCATATGCATCCTAAGACTGCAGAACTTAGTCTCCTGGAGCCAGTAAACAGAGACTTTCACCAGAAATTTGATTTAGTGATTAAGGTAAATTAAACTAATTTCTTATTTCGTTGCATCTGTAAACTGATAATGAAAGAAACCTGTAGAGGCTACTGCAGAAACGTTTATGTCATTAAAATTAAAATTAATTTGGACAGAAACGAACTAAAATTTTTGTAAGAAAACAAGTGAAGTGCAGTTTTCATATATTGGGTTACATTTCTCTAAACTAGTTTTTGCGTTATTATTATGAGATTCAAGTGCTGAATATTTTTAATATGTAATAAAGATGCTAATCAAATGTAGATATTACTACATAATATAAATTATTATGTCTTCTAACATTTATTTTTTTTACTAAAAGGAATAATTTTTTATAGTAAGCATATAACCTGTATGTATATTTTAAATGTGCATGAACTTATATTTTTGTTTTAATAATGGATTATTTTTTAAATTTAATTGCTTTTCCAACATGTAACTGGAAGCTATTGCTTACTCAAAGATTCCTCTAATATATATCTCACTATTTTCTTTATGTTAAAAGATAATCCTAGACCTGAAAGATTTTCAAAGCAAGGAGAATACGTTTGGCATTACAATTTTGGTCTAATACTAGCTAGTATGTTGTACTGAAATCATGTGAAAGGTACTGTGGAAACCCAGATAAGCTGACAATTAATTCTTGTGGACTTCATTGAGGGGTGAGATTCGAGCTGGGCAGTGAAGGAGGAGTAGGAATTTGACAAATAGAGATGGTGGTTAGGATACGGTATTTTAAGTAAAAGGAAAGACGTTAGAAAGACACGGAGTAATTTCAGTATGCATTGCATGACTTTTTTGTATCTGTGCATATAAAAAAATTAGCTATGAAAATGCAGTCCCGTGATATTTGTCTTACAATTTTTAAATTTAAAATTATTAAAGGAAAAGGAAGTAGAGTGAGAAATCTCACTACTCGTGTATTGTACAAGGTGCAATATGTACGTTTTTCATTGTTATTGCTGCAACCTTAGTACCATGCTCATTTGTACAGTTTGGAACCTGAAGCTCATTGAGGTTGAGTGCTTTGTTCATTGTTACACTACTAATAAGCATCAGGATTGAGATTTAGAGGCAAGTTTATCTAAGTCAAAGCCATCCTCTTTCCACTTCACCAGGACTCAGTTGCTTAAATGGTTGTCTGGTTTAACTATCTAAAAGTCCAGCTGCAAACAATATTATTTTCACATGCATTTTATTTTAGCTCAAACCAGGAGATATTTTCTTAACACCAGTTATATTATACATGCCAAAACCTATGCTTACTTACTGGCCCCTTGTCCTTGAAGAGCTTGTAGTATAGAAGGGGAAGAGTCATATAAGCAGATAAATCAAAGACAACACTTCAAGTGCTAGCAGGAAGACATGCCAACAAAGCACAGAATAAAACCCAAACCCATTGACGTCAAGTTGATGCCAACGCATTGTGACCCTATAGGACAGAGTAGAACTGCCCCATAGGGTTTCCAAGGAGCGGCTTGTGGATTTGAACTGCCAACTTTTTGCACTTTGAGCTCTCAACCACTACGCAGAATATGGACATTTGAGTTAATCTAGAGATTCAGGTAAGATTTTCTAGAGATTATTCCAAGCTAAATGTCTCTGGATAGAAAGGGTTTAGCCAATGAATAAAGTGGAAAATATGTTTGAACAGAAGGAAGAGCAGGAGTAAAAGCTTGGAGGCATGAGACAGCAGGCTACAAGCAGTTAACCGGGAAATGAGGTATAGAGCCAGACCACAGAGAGAGCCTTATGTGTGATTGCAATTGCCTTGGATTTCATTCAGTAGGGGTTTGGGAGTTATTCAACGAAGAAAGACTATTTTTACCGTTTGTATAAAATAGCCATGCATGAGATTCATCTTCTTGCATTGACTATTTTAATTATCATGGAATTGTATAAAACTCAAAAACGTGTATCCATTGTCTACTGGCAATCTACCTGGAGTCCTGTAGTGCTGCTATTTGGGGGAGTTAAGGCATTTGACAAAGGACTGTTTCCAAACCACCACATTTGAAACCTGACATCAATTATTTTCTTTCATTATCAAAGTCAGTTGTCCTAGTGTACCTGGGTACTGAGTCCATCAATTATGAAAAAAAAATCAATTACAACAGGCCGCAGTTAATTTTTTTTATGTTTTAATAACACTTTATCTTATTAATGGAATTTTTTTACAGACATTATTAGATTCAAATTATTGTGTTTTGTGTTCAGTAAAGGGGATAATAAGCAAAGGTATCAATCTGTAAGAATAATAATGTGCCACCTGCTTGAATAATAGCTGAGTATTGTGGCATCGTTCAGGGATCCAATGAAATGCTATGATTTGGCAGTTTTCCTCGGTAGTAAGTCCTGCAGCTTCTTCCCTTTTTCTTATTTTAATAATGCTTCATTTTTCATTGCCCTAAAGTTTTTATTGGACTTGATCCCAATTTCTGGTTTGAAAGCTGAGAAAAAAATAAAATAAAATGAAATATCTTTTCCTAGACTTAGAGGAAGAATTACGTTTTAAAAAGCTGTGTGAGCATTTAACAGCTGGTGAGTATCACGAATTAGAAATTTATCATCTCCATTTTTTCTATTTCTGTCAGTGATTTATTCAGCATGCTGACAAAAATGTAAAGGTGAAACTAGGGAGATTAAATTAACTAGTTCATAGACTTAAAAATATTAGAAGATTAAAATATGTCCATTTGAAAGAAAAGAATGTTCTATTTCAAGATAACATCTCAAGTTTTAGTTAATTTTAATTATTTAAGTATATTTAAAATGAGGTACATATTTGAAGTTAGTCAGTATGACCTGTCTGAATAATATGATATTTCTTCTTAAGTAGGGAGATTCATAAATTTAGTTTGCTCGGGGCAGTTCATGTTTATGCCTGTTGTCCTTGAGTAATTATTAATAACACCCTTTTCACTTTCAAAAAAATGTCCTAGTTTGGAAGATAAATTAGGTGATCATAAAGCCAAAAATACTTGAGGTAGAAATATGAAAACTCTTTTTAAAGATGCTAGATTATAGTGAATTAGCTCATGTGTGGAACATCTGTAGCAAGGCGCAGAAAATTCACTTTCCTTTTTATAAGTGCAGTATTTTTTTAAAAGTATCATTAGTTGATATATACGTGCTTTAAGCCATCTAATACGAAGAAACTAACCTTGAATTACTGACAAATTAAAATGAGCAAATAATTAATAATCCACTGTCTCTCAATTGCTCAAAGAATAATTGTATTTTTATCTAAATTCCTTTGATTAACAACTAGCTGCAAGGATTACAATGAAAATACGAACATCATTGAATCATGGTCCCTTTGTTTTTCATTTTGTTACTCAGTGACCTACTTCTACTAGCTAGCAGGCTGATTTTTAACTTTTTTTCTTTCCAAGTCATGGATATGTTGACCCTTATCTGGTACCCATCACACCTCACACTTTATGTTCCAACCATACTGAACCACTTCCAGTGCCGTAAACTCACCATATTCTTTGTAGCCTCCAAACATTTACAGATACCACTCCTATTCCTGAATCATTCCTCCCGTTTCTTGTCAACAGTCTAAGTCACACTGATGCTTCAGTTTTCAACTAAGACGACCCTTTCTCTGGAAAGACATCTTCACTGGTTTGTGAGAGTCTCCTTGCATCCTGTTTATCCCTATCTATGTTGGCTGCCATCACTCAATATTAGACTTGCATATTTATTTTCTCCTAACCTTTATAGGAGAGCAGATTTTAATGTTTTTTTTTTTTTTTTTAACTTGTATCCTGAATCTCTAACCCTACCTGTGTATAGCACATAGAAAGTTCTCAGTAAATATTTGTTGTAATGATTTTCTCCCTGGCACAGTGAATTTTTTAAGGCTACTGGTTTTGAGTACCTGTATCTTCATTGTAGTTGAATACGTACATTCGAATATGTATGTATTTGATATAATTGTATCTTGTGTTTCTGTTCATAGTAAAGATGCGATGAAATTCTTAAATAAATTCAATCCCTGGAAAAAGGTTGGCACTATGTTAAAGCACAGTTTGAGTCCTCTTCATGACTGTATCAAAAAACAAAAACAAACTGGAAATAAAAAATTAAGAAAGAAAAGCCCTCCTTTCTTCTAAAGAAGAGATATATTTTTGACACGGAAGATGAGCCACAGAATCAATACGGTCAGCCTGGATATTGGTGGTGATGTGCCAGTCCTCCTGACAAGTTGCTTTACTTCAATAGTTTGAAAGTCACAGGACAACATCTGAAAAATGACTGAAGCCTAAAAAAACAGCGACTACAACCCTACACGTGAATCTCTTATGCTACAACCCTAGAAAATATTTAGCTTGTATGTGAATAATGATACAGATTTTACTTTACTACACAGGCATCAAATAGAAAACTCAGATTCAGTGTTTTTAAAGCACACAAAATTTGTTAGTTTTCAATTTTCCAAGTCCTTTTTGAGTGATTATTAGGTACCTGACATTTAGATTGTTGTAGAAGAGACAGAATTGTATAAAAACTCTACTTCAAAGAAATCACAAGTATGGAAATTATACGTTTAGTCTTTCCTTTCTGATCGCTACACCCATATTTTCAATCCTGGATGAACAACTACTCCTGGTATTCTACAATCGTGTAAAATAAAAAATATAGCAAACTAAACACATCGTTTTGAAATGTCCAGTCTTCTACTCTTGATTCTTTTTCTTAATAACAGCATTACCATTGGTCAGTCACCCGAACTTAGAGCCCTTATTTCCTCATGGATCCTTTCTCTCATGTCTCCCCATCCAATCACTTATCAAGTCCTAACCAGATACCTCTGGAATTTCTCTTGAATAGCTCCCCAAGTTTTCATTCTCACTGTAATTCTCTGTTTCTCATCCTCACAGCCTATAATCTCGCACAAGGGATCTCTCTCAAACCATAGCCTCATCTCCTTGCGTTCTGTCCATCACTACATCTTTCTCCCCATATTTCCAATAGAGTTCTTCTAAAACAAACAA